CCCACATCCGCGCGGCCGTGACGGCCCTGTACTTGCACGTGCGCATAGATATTTCATGATGTGGGCTTCGCGGGCACTTCTACTAGCAGGGGCGGGGACTATAACAAGGGTGTCCGCTTTCTGGATCGATTTTCGCGTTGGCCATGGACCCGATCGTCAGGTTCATGCGTTGCAAAATCCCTCCACACCTCGGCCTCGTGCGGGCCTTCGCCGACGACGTCGGGACTCTCGCTGGCTCTCTCGCTCTCTCGCTGGCTCTCGAGGTTTGGGTTGTTGCTGCAGGTGCGGCAGGGCTCATTTTGCATCTCAAGAAGACGGTTATCGCGGTGCACAGCCGGCCCCCGATCGCCGAGCTTAAGAGTGAGCTCCGCGAGATAGGCATCCGCAATGATAACTTCACCCTCGCTACCGCTGCCCGATATATTGGCGCTGTTCTCGAGTGGGGAGCCAAGTCGCTGAGCTGGGAAGGGCCTGTTCGGAAGATGGAGGGGGGGGCCAAAAGCATCGAGAGCTTGTTTCTGCGACTCATCAAGAGCATCGCGAGGTTTAATGTGCACGGATTCTCCTGTCTCACGTTTATCGGGCAATTCTTCGCGCCCACCAAGTTTGCACTTGACCGTCTGCGTGGAGCGGGACAGGCTCTCACCAATGCGCCGAGAAATGCCGTCCCGACAGTCTTGCTGCAAGACCTCACCTCCGTGGGCGCCAGAGCTCAGGCGCGTGATCTCGCGTGTATGTGCCGTGCTGCGATGTCTCGTCTCGCTCATTACTCGTCGTCGTTCTTCGCCATGCGCCGCGAGCTCGAAGACTTCGCCGAATCTGATGAATGTGTTTACCTTTGGAAAAGGCACCCCCTCATCAAGACATGCTCCATCATGGCCCTTATCGAAAATTACGACGCGATCACGCCTCTCCGTCGGCTGCCGCCTCTGACGCCCCCGATGCAGAGGATAATAGATCGCCCACTGAGCTCCGATCGCCCCCTCGCCGCGCGGTGTACGATTAGAAAGCGCATGCAGTATTTCACACGTCCTCCCCCCACGGCCCCACACATTGATGCCTGCATGATCTACCTAGGCAGGCTCGGTCAGATTGCCCCCCCCCCCCCCCCCCCCCCCCGTATGTCGTCATTGCGTCGATCCGTGCCTTGTGTAATAGCTGGTGCACCTCGCGCAGATTTCGTGAGCCTACTTTGTGCTGCAGGTGGTGTAAATTCGCCGTGTGGGGAGATGACATCCTGCACTATTACAGCTGCCCTGTCCTGGAGGATGTTTTCAGAATGCCCCCGTCGCTCCCCGAGGGTTTTCAGAATGCCTCGGCGGTGCATCGGATCCTCCTTTTCCCCTTTGGTCACCTCCCCGCTTCTGCCCTGCTCTCTGTCGGCCTCCTTCATGATCTTGCTTGCACCCTCTTGTGCGCGTGCAGAGAGCGACGGAGATCCGTCGGTGAACTGCACGCTGCGGCGCGGGCACGGCTGCGCTGGGCTCCGCGGCGAGGAGGCCCGTCCGTGGAGCCCCTGCTGCGGCCAGCTGCCACCGCTGCCGCCGCCGCCCCGCCGCCCCCGCCCGACCTGGACACCTCTTGAGGCCGCTCGCTCCTGTTTCTTTCCTCCTCAGCCGACTCCTGTCGCCCTCCTCCGAACTCCGACGGCCTCGACAACTTTCGGGCAATAGCGCCACTAGTTCAGGCCTCTGGCGAGAATTCCGGACGACGCTTCGGGCGCCCCTGGAACGCTGTCGGCGAAGCGACGCAGTTGGGTTACACATTGCAGCCACGCGTAGAACTAACCCCACTTCCAGAACGTCGCCAGTGGGGCCTTCGGTGGGGCTTTCCACGTCGTCGGAGCCGGCCGCGGGAAATGCAAAAATGGGCGTGGGCGACGCACGCGGGCTGCTCAATTAAGGCTTTCCGTGGAGCCACGAAGCGTGTGAGGGGTGTGCCGAAATGGATTGTTCCTTATGGGGCCACGAGGCGGGCTGCTCCCTGCTCCCTATGGGGCCACGAAGCGTGTGAAGGGGTGTGCCCATATGAGTGTGCGTGACGCAGGCGGGCTGCGCCACTGGGGCCTTCCGTGGAGCTCCCTGCGGGGCCACGACACGCAGAAGGGGCGTGCCGAAATGTGTGTGCGCGACGCATGCGGGCGGTGGCAGTGGAAACTTCGGAGGAGCTCCGTATGGGGCCACGAAGCGTGTGAGGGGTGTGCCGACATGGGTGTGCGTGACGCATGCGGGCTGCGCCACTGGGGCCTTCGGTGGAGCTCCGTATGGGGCCGCGGAACGTGTCACGTGTGTGCCGAAATGGGTGTGCGCGACGCACGCGGGAGATGGCAGTGGAACCATCGGTGGAGTTCCGTATGGGGCCACGAAAGGTGTGAGGGGTATGCCCAAACGGGTGTGCGTGACGCAGGCGGGCTGCGCCGCTGGGGCCTTAGGTGAAGCTCCCTATACGGACAAATACCGTGCAAGGGGCTGTTGTTGCTGTTGCTGCTGCTGCTGATGCTGCTGATGATGATGATGATGATGATGATGATACGGGTGATGATTTGATGAAGAGAGAGAGAGAGAGAGAGAGAGAGAGAGAGAGAGAGAGAAAGAGAGAGAGAGAGAGAGCGTGATCCACCGCCGCTCTACTGTGGAAAATTGCCGTTTTTTTCCTCCGAGACCCGGGGTTACCCCCCCCTCCGAAAATCCCCCTCCCCCCTCCCTGCTGGAACTCCTCCCCCCCCCCCCCCTCCCCCCGGCAAAACCCCCCCCCCTCCCCTTAACCCCCCCCCCACCCACCGAACTCGAAAACCGGGGGGGGTGTTACCAGTTCGAACCCCCCCTCGAAAACCGGAAAGGGGGGGGTTCACTACTGGTTCGAACCCTCCCCCCCTCCTCACTCCAGCAAACGACTCCCGGTCCCTCCCACCGTCCCCACCACATCCCCCACTGTTGCTTCCCAGCACCACTGTCCTCACCACCGCTGTCCCCGCTGGTTCCACCACCGCCCCTACTGTCCCCACCAGTGCCACCACCCGTGTCGCACTGTCCCCATTGTCCCCACCACTGTTCCCACCACGGCTCCACTCCCCCAACTTTCTCCCTACTATCCCCACTGTCCCCACTGTCCCACTGACTCCTCCGCTGTCCCACTGAGCTGTCCCACTGTTCCCACCACTGTCCCCACTGTCCCCACCACTGTCCCCACTGTACCTCTGTCCCATTGTCCCACCGCCGTCCTCGCCACCGCCTTCACCACTGTCCCCACCACCACTGTACCCTCCACTGTCCTACTGTTTCCACCACATTCCCACTGTCCCCACACCACTGTCCCCACCACCACCGTCCCCACCACTGTCCCACTGTCCCCACTGTTCCCACCATTGTCCTCACCATGGTCCCCACCACTACCGTCCCCACCACTGTCCCACTGTCCCCACCACTGTCCCGCTGTCCCCTCGCCACTGTCCCCACCACCACCGTCCCCACCACTGTCCGCACCCCCCCTCGGTTTTCGAGGGGGGGGGGCGGAGGGGGGGGGGTTCGAACCGGTAGTGACCCCCCCCGTTTTCAAGTTCGAGGGGGGGGGGGGGTCGAACCGGTAGTGCCCCCCCCCTTTTCATGATGAACTGGGGGGGGGGGGAGGGGTTCGAACCGGTAGTGACCCCCCTCGGTTTTCCGGAGGGGGGGGGGGGGAGGGGTTCGAACCGGTAGTGACCCCCCCCGGTTTTCCGCCAGCAGCGGTGACGATGACGACGACGACATGCGGGGGGCAGAGGCTGGGAGGAGGAGGAGGAGGAGGAGGAGGAGGAGGAGGAGGAGGAGGAGGAGGAGGCAGGATGGGGAAGAGGAAGAGAGGAAAGAACACGGGGCGCTGCCTCTTCGAAACGAGGACCCAACACCACCCAAACGGGGCGCTCCCAGAGAGGCAGGTCCATTGCCCAGTGCGATAGGAGCGACCCTGCCGCGGACACCCTGTGTGGCCACGAAACTCCGTACCGGGTTGGGGAGACGCATGCGAACACTGCCATTGCGGCCTTAGGAGGAGCTCCTTATGGGGCCAGCGAAACGCTGTGCTGGGTGGGACCGACGCATACGAACGCCGCCACTGGGGCCTCAGGTGGATCTCCACACGCAGCCAGGAAACGCTGTGCTGGGTGGGGGAGAAGCATGCGAACACCGCCACTGTGGCTTCAGATGGAGCTCCCTATGAGGCCACGAAACACACAACGCTGTGCTGGATGGGGGAGGCGCATGCGAACACCGCCACTGGGGCCTTAGGTGGAGCTCCCTGTGGGGCCTCGGAACGCTGTGCTGGTTGGGGGAAACGCATGCGAACACCGCCACTGGGGCCTCAGGTGGAGCTCCCTATCGGGCCAGCGAAATCTTGTGCTGGGTTGGGGAAACGCATGCGAACACCGCGACTGGGGCCTCAGGTGGGGCTCCCTACGGGGCCACGAAACGCTGTGCTGGTTGGAGGAGACGCATGCGAACACCGCCACTGGGGCCTCAGGTGGAGCTCCCTATCGGGCCAGCGAAATCTTGTGCTGGGTGGGGGAAACGCATGCGAACATCGCCACTGGGGGCTTAGGTGACCCTCCCGATTGGGCCGCGAAATCCTGTGCTGGTTGGAGGCGACGCATGCGAACACCGCCATTGAGGCCTTCGATGGGGCCCCCTGTGGGGCCACGACACGTGTAAAGGGTGTGGCGGAATAGGTGGCGATGATGGTGACGATAACGGTGGTGATCACGACGTCGATGATGATGATGATGATGATCATGATGATGATGATGATGATGATGATGATGATGATGATGATGATGATGATGATGATGATGATGATGATGATGATGATGATGATGATGATGATGCTGATGCTGATGCTGATGCTGATGATGCTGATGCTGATGCTGATGCTGATGCTGATGCTGATGCTGATGGTGGTGATGATGATGACGACGACGACGAGGTCATGCGCAGGGCAGAGGCAGGGATGGGAGGAGGGAGGAGGGGGAGGAGGAAGGAAGCAAGAAAGGAAGGAGCGCGGGGCGCTGTCTCTTCGAAACGAGGACCCAACACCACAGGACGGTTGGGAAAAAGGTGGTGGACTGCCACGCCGCGGGGGAGCCCGCGAGGGTCGTGGTCGGAGGGCTGCCCACCGTGCCCGGCGCCACCATGCTGGAGAAGCGGGCTCACGTGATGGAGCACCTCGACGGGCTGCGGAAGCTGCTCATCACGGAGCCCCGAGGCCACGTGCACCAGGTTGTTCGATAAGCACCCTCACCGTGCCAGTCCGCCCGACGGCCCGTTCTAGCCCCTACGCGCATCGAGCCCACCCCTTCACGCGACCCAGCCCTTCCACGCCCTGCGCAGGACATGCCCATTCGACCGCCCCCCCACAACGCGATCCATCCCGCCCACGCTCATTGAGCAACTCGGAGTGCACGTCGTTCGTCACCACTCTTTTGCCCGCGCACGTCGTCTGAAGCGCTGCTCCGTCCCGTGTCCAGCGGATGCGCGGAGGTTCACGTGTCGCGGTCGGTCGTGCCGTTTCGTTGTGCCCAGCGCGTCTGTGGCTTCCGAGACGCGATTATTCGGGGGATGTGGGGGACGTTGCCACGTCGCGTTGCGTGGGGTGCTCTGAGGGAGTACCGTAGGCACCTCAAGTGTAAAGCAAAACAAGCAAAACAAACAAGCAAGCAAGCAGGCAAACAAACAAACAAACAAACAAGCAAGCAAGCAAGCAAGCAAACAAACAAACAAACAAACAAAACAACAACCAGACAAGAAAAGACTGTCAGCAGGTGCCCTGCGGGAGTTCCGTCTGCCCCGATGGCCTCGGGGGGGCCACAGAACCCCAGGGGCACATCAGGGAGCTCAAAGCTGGACAACAAGCGTGCCCTGGGATTTCTTCAAGCCAGTCCTCTGGCGACGATCGCATGCGCCTGCTGCACGGAGACCAAAGGCTACCCCTGCCAAAACGCGAACCTCGTGTTCCCAGCGGCCGACCCCCGGGCAGCCTTCGGCTTCGTGATCTTGGAGCAGAACAAGATATACCCGGCGATGTCGGGGCACAACACCATGTGCGTCGCCACCGCGCTCCTGGAGACCGGCATGGTGCCCATGGTGGAGCCAGTGATCGCGGGCGGGAAACGTATCCGTATCCACGGCCTCGCGAGCCGGGCCCCTGGGCGGCGACCCCGTGGATGCGGGGCGTTTTTGTTCGCGGCTGCCCCGCGCGGAACGTATCCATGCCACCGCGTATCCGCGGGATCGCGCCCCGGAATCCAGACCGCGAGGGCATGGAGACGGACATGGTCGCCGCTCGTGAGGTGACAGAGTTCGTGCTGGAGGCCCCCGGGGGGCTCATCCGGAAGGCAGGAAGAGATGCACGAACATCGACGCTTCGGAGCTCCGCACGGATCGCTTGGATCGGCGCTGGGCCCCCTCTCCGCACCTTTTTCCCGGCGCTCGGCCCTTGCCCAGGGCGGTGCCGGAGGCGCCGCCGCCCAGGGGAGCGGGGGAGGTGGGCCCAGCGCCGACCCAGGAAAGCTACGCGGACCTCCGAAGGTTTCTGTTCACGCCGTCTCGTCGGTGCCCTCCGTCGTCGAGATAACTGCCGCGTGCAGCAACGGCAAAGCGACGGACATACGGTTCATGAACCAGCCCGCGTTCGTGGCACCCCAATGCTTGGATCTGGAGGTCGAGGTGCCCCAACTCGGCACCGTGCGCCTCGACGTCGCATGGGGGGGTGGCATGTGGTACGCTGTGGTGGACGCCGCGCCCTTGGGCCTGGAGCTCCTGCCCATGCACGGCAAGGACCGAACAACAATTGAGCTTTCCTATCGCAGGTCGGCTCGAGTGGAGTTCCCGGTTTGCCTAGCGACGTGTTTGAATTGCACAGCGGTTGAGACCGAGTCATGTGAAGTTCTGTGGTCGCGCTCCCCTGTTCTGTGGTCGCGCTCCCCCGTGCGGATTGATTGGGGCGGCGCTGGACACCCCCCTGGCGGCACCTCCGTCGCCGCCCCTCGCGCGCTCCGCGCGCCAGCGGAGGGGGGTCCAGCGCCGACCTGTGCAACCCGCGCGGACCTCCGAACAACGACTTTTCTGCCGCGGTCTGCTCCTCAAGAGGAACTGTGCCGCGCGGGTGAGATGATCAAGGTGGCCACGAGGGAGCAGCACCAGGTTAACCACCCCGAGTTCGACTACCCCGGTCCGGACATCATGGTGTTCCGGGGGCCCGCCGTCTCCCCCAAGGCAAGCGCGCGGAACGTGGTGGTGATGTCAAACGGCGTGTTGGACTGGCAGCGGCCAGCGACCTGGACGGGCATGATCGACCGCTCACCTTGCGGCACGGGCACGTGCGCCGTCATGGCCACGGCTGTCCCGCCATTCATTCTGAGGGGCACGGTGCGGAGAGGCAATAACTATAAGGAAAATCCTGAAGGCCTCGCGCGGCGCGTAATAGTTGCACTATCTAGTCCACGCGTCCGCCCGGTCAGATACGGGACGACATTCGCGCTGCGATGTTCCGATGTAAGTCCGACGCAAATTCGACGCAAATCCGACGTATACCCGACGTGGATCCGACGGAAATTGGGTCTCAAGTTGCCGCGCGAGGCCTCCAGGATCTCCCCGTCACGATGAAGCAGCCCGTGGCTGCGTACAACGAAGCAGACTGTGCGCCGGCGGTGTATTGATCGTTTCCCCGGCACGGCCATGCTTGCTCGGCTGCTTTGCTGCCAATCTTTTGCGGTCCTACTTTGTGGTTACAGCGAGGGGCTCTGGAGCGCTCGACCTTCTTTTCTCAAGGGAGGGAAGCGCACCCCGACCCCCACAATTGGCGTTCAACGTTCACTGGACAGCTCTCGTCGTGTCGTTTACTGAACAGTCCTGCCCTGTTCGATGCCTTCCTCAGGTGCGTTTACTTCAGGACTTATTTTGTAGGGGTGCTCACTACTACCATGGTGTTTTTTCTGCCCTCTACAGTTGTCCACGTGGATTGCGCGCGGGGCTTATCGTGCGCCAATCCCAGGGTCCGAAATGGACCTGTCAGAAGGCGGCGGGGCTTCTCGGAGGCCCTCCGACCTTCTGAGAAACCGTCTCTGCCTCTGGGGAAGGCTTAGAAAGCTTCTCAGATGGCGAGAGGCCTTCCGAGTCTTCTGAGGAGCCCCGCCCCCTCTGCCGCCCCCCCCCCGGGCGCGCCGCCAGTGAGATGAACCGACCGTCCTGGTGCTTGCTCCAGGGCGCTGCGGGGCGGTCCACAGAGGGCTACACGGAACAGTCCTTCGTCATCGGGGCGGGGGCGATAAACGGTGGATCAAGGGTTGCAGGAAAGGGTTGCAGGAAAGGGGACCTAAAGTGGCCCCCTGGGGCCCCGAGGGTGTACGAAAGGCGCACCCCTATTTATTGCATCCCCCTCGCATGAGAGACGCCTGACCGGAGGGAGCTCCGGACGAGGCGCAGCTTCTGGAAAACAACCCGAGGTTCAGAGGCCTCCAGGGAGGCGACGAAAACCTGTCCAGACGCTTCTGAACGGCGCCTGGATGTTTCCGAAAAAGCGTGTCGACTCATCCAGAAAAGGCCCGAGGCCATCGAATGCTTCCGCCCTCGGAGTGGCGGGGCCGAGGTCCAGAAGCCTCCGAAGACATACGAACCCAGACATTCGATGTTTTGACGTGTTAGATGCCATGCCCATGGAAGCCCCAACCTTTTCCCCCAGGGCCAGAGCGCTTCTCATCTTGCAAGCATGAAGCGTGCTTGACGGTCCTGGAGCCCCCAAACGGCCCCCAGAGGCCGAAAGCAGCGAGAAGCCTCCGTCTTGATTTGTGCCACGATGTCGGATGCCCGGGAGTCCGCAAGGCTCCGAAAAAGCACCCGAGGCTTCCGACACTCTGCCGGCCCCTCAGAGTCCGGCGGGGCCTCCGTGGCGCCGTGGCGACGTTGCACGCGCGCGGCGAGCTGAAGATCGGAGAGGACTTCGTCCACGAGCTTCCTCCCTCTCCTCCTCTCCCTCCCTCCCTCCTCTCCCTCCCTCCCCCCTGTCGAGGTGAGAACAGTGAGCCAACCGATGGCCCGCGCGTGCCGTCGGAAGCGTCACCAAGACGATGGAAGTGAATACTTAATGTTCGGATGGATTGAGTCAGGGCGAAAGTCTTTCTCAGCGCCCATTGCTGTTAGCGGCACCTCCCCTGCTTGGCAATCGACCGCTCTCAAACCAGTTGCGGACGGACAAACATATTGAACACAGGTACTTCATCAGAAATTCATCACCATGGTAATCTCCCACGGGCGGCGGCAAATATACCGCTCACAGTTCTCCAGGGTCTCGTCAGATTTGCAGCCCGTAGACATGAAAACGAAAACCGTCTCAATTCGGAAATAATATATGGAAGACGTGATACGGTCGACAAGTTTGGCTTAGCGTGTCGCGGCGCCAGTTCTGGCCCACCACATTCCGGCGCGACACGCTGACAACGTCCTGGCCCCCAGGCGTCAAATTGTCCGACCTTTTCCTGGCCTCGCGGAGCGGAGCGACACGCCATCAGTTTGCAGGGCATAGCGCTTAGCGTGTCGCCGGGGCCGCGGCCGCGACGCGCTACGCAAATGTCCCCAGCCCTAGCATGGACCTGCAACTTGACAACCACGTCATGCGCACTGGCATTCTACCCCTTCGGGGAGGACTTCGTGCACGAGTCCATCATCGGCACGACCTTCACGGGGAGGCTGCACTCCGAGGACAGCCAACCCCATGTCTTCTCTCTCTCTCTCTCTCTCCCTCTCTTGCTGCTCGTGCCCTTCCGTGCAAGAGATGAGGGCGCGGCCAGGAAGGAGGAACCTCCGCCTATTCTCGCTGCGAGGAAAATCGCGACGGGAGATTCGGGGCAATGTTCTACACCAGGGGTCCTCACCAGGCCCCAGGACCGTCAAAAAACTACTCAGGATGAAAAGCCGGTCCAGGAGAAGGAGTCCAGACTTCCGGAGGTCCATGTTGTGACACAATTCAAAACGTCTGAGTTTTTACCTAACAGCGAAGACTGATAGGTTTCTAGTGGTCTCAAAAGAGAGCATCATGACTCCCCAGGGGGGTCTGGGCAGATGCCGGACGGGTGCCGCGGGAATGCGGGGAGTGCCGCGGGAATCCGGGGATTTTTTTGGCCAGCAGTAACGCACTTCGTGGTCTTCGAGTTCCCAGAACTCCATTCCTGGGCTTGACTTTGAATGCCCGGAGCCAACTGTAGGCCACTTCGTGTTCTTCGAGTTCCCAGAACTCCATTCCCGGGCCACATTTTGAATGCTGAGGCAGGCTGAGGCTGAGGCTGAGGCAGGCTGAGGCTGAGGCAGGCTGAGGCTGAGGCCGAGGCTGAAGGCAGACTGAGGCTGAGGCTGAAGGCTGAGGCTGAGGCTGAGGCTGAGGCAGGCTGAGGCTGAGGCTGAGGCTGAGGCTGAGCAGGCTGAGGCTGAGGCTGAGGCTGAGGCTGAGGCTGAGGCTGAAGCAGGCTGAGGCTGAGGCTGAGGCAGGCTGAGGCTGAGGCTGAGGCAGGCTGATGCTGAGGCAGGCTGAGGCTGAGGCTGAGGCTGATGCAGGCTGAGGCTGAGGCTGAGGCCGAGGCTGAAGGCAGACTGAGGCTGAGGCTGAAGCAGGCTGAGGCTGAGGCTGAGGCAGGCTGAGGCTGAGGCTGAGGCTGAGGCTGAGGCTGAGGCTGAGGCAGGCTGAGGCTGAGGCTGAGGCTGATGCAGGCTGAGGCTGAGGCAGGCTGAGGCTGAGGCCGAGGCTGAAGGCAGACTGAGGCTGAGGCTGAAGCAGGCTGAGGCTGAGGCTGAGGCAGGCTGAGGCTGAGGCTGAGGCTGAGGCTGAGGCTGATGCTGAGGCAGGCTGAGGCTGAGGCTGAGGCTGATGCAGGCTGAGGCTGAGGCAGGCTGAGGCTGAGGCCGAGGCTGAAGGCAGACTGAGGCTGAGGCTGAAGCAGGCTGAGGCTGAGGCTGAGGCAGGCTGAGGCTGAGGCTGAGGCTGAGGCTGAGGCAGGCTGAGGCTGACTGCTGACTGCCGTTGCCACTGCGACTGTCGTCGCGAATGCGACTACGACTGCGAGAACAGCAGAATTCTACAACTGGATTATCATCTGAATATTAAGGGGAATGCTTCCAGATATGCTCCTACACATCTCTGTTAGGTTGCCTTGCCGGGATAATCTTACGGGAAGGAAAAGGAGGACACCCAGACGCCAGACGTCCGGCGTTATCAGAGGATGTATAGCCCTTTTCTGTTGCCGCGCGGATCCGCCAACGCGCTCGGGCGAGCGGGGGGCGCAAGCGGCTTCGGGGTCGCCTAGGGGGTGGTGGGGCGGGGGCGCCTGGGAGGGGGGGGGGGGGGCGATACATGCCATTGAACATCCAACCCAAACTTTTGAGCTTGGCGTTTTGGGAAGCGAAAAAATCGCTCGATGCGTCGGGGGGGCCTTATCCGCGCCCTCCTCCATGAGAGGAGGGTGCCGGCAGGAAGGAGGAAGGAAGGAAGGAGATCACACAGACCTCTGGCGACCTGACAGCAATCAGGGCGGTCGGCTTTCCTGTTTCTCCCGAGGCCCGTTTCAAGCATCGAGGGGCCCACAAATGATTATTAATTCATTGACTCGTTCGCCATACCTAGTCGCCGCCAGGCTCAGTCCGCCGCATGTTTGTCATTCACGTCCAGACATCTAGACGCATACCCTGGCTGGAACAATCAATCGTACGACAATGCGTGGGTGCACAATTCCATAAGATGTATCGGATGGTCCTAGAGGACCATTTGCCGCGGAACTAGGAGATTGTCCATGGCGCGAAATCCTTACGCATGTTGGCCTCGAGAGCCTTGTAATTCTACGCGTTGGCCACCGGTCAGGCTGTTGTGCAAGTTGTGAGAGCCGGCAGAATTGCCACGGGGCTCAGCCTCGGACAGCTCGAGGCGGTGCGGCCAGGACTGTGGGTGCGGCGCGTCCCCAGCGGGCCCGCTCACAGGGTGGGGAGACAAGAGGAAGAGGAGGAGGAGGCGGAGGAGGAGGAGGAGGAGGAAGAGGAGGAAGAGGAGGAGGGAGGGAGGGAGGGAGGGAGGGAGGGAGGAGGGAGGAGGGAGGAGGAGGAGGGAGGAGGGGGAGGAGGAGGAGGAAGAGGAGGAGGGGGAGGGAGGGAGGGAGGGAGGGAGGGAGGGAGGAGAGGAGGCCGCGCCAGACTTGTGGGGGGCAGCAGTCGCGGAATCGTTCGAGCGCCTCAGAATCAGGCCAGGCCCCTCGCGGGCACAAGCAGGTGGCAACGCGGCGGCCCAGCGGAGCACCGTATGCTGACCATCGCATACTGATCTTGAAGGCGTTGGACAGCGACGAGGAGCAGAGATGATGGACCCAGAGCAGCCAGGCACGGGGGCTCCAGCGCACCTCTGACGAGCAATCGGCGGTGCCAGCCCTGACTGTTGCTGGATGCCTGGCGGGCGCAGTGCGAGCGTGGGCGCGCCTCGTTACGCAGGGGTCGCTCCAGGAGGACTGGGAGGGCACAGTGCAGGTGTGCCAGTTGTGCGGGACCTCCCTGGAGACAGCCTCGCTCCTCACGCAGCGTTCGGAAGCGGGACTCCTGCTGACTCGGTGGAGCTCCGCGGCCGCGATGGAGCTCCCACACCAGGCGGGCCAGCGGGCGCACTGGCTCCTTGGAGCTAGCACGCTGGAAGCAGCGGCAGAGGAGGCAGACCTTGCCCGCCGCTTGGAGCAGCGCTGCGCGGCGTGAAGACCGCCCCGCTACCGTCTCCCCGTCGACCCCTCTCTCGCTCCCCTTCTGCCTCCTCGCGCCGCCTGGGGGGGAGGGGTCCGGGGACTGAGCCCGCGGCCGCCGGTGGTGGGAAGGAGCCGGTGCGGCTGACGGGGCAGGTGGGTAAGCCTCAGGCAGGTTGGCGTGGGGCTCCTGGACTTTGGGCTGCCTTACCCTCCCCATACACGTGGAAGGGCACTGACAATGCATTCAGCCGAGCTGGAAGCTTACCTTGGTCTGGAGAGCGGCCGTCCCCTGGGTGTGGGCGGGGAGAGGCGGGGCCTTGGGGCCTGGGGTGGGGGGCCGCCCATCGTTCCCAGAACTCCGATGCTGTGTTTTTCTGAGAACGTGGAGCCCATTCCTCGGGACCGGCATTTCATCCCGTGGGCTTCCTCGACGACAGGCGGGGGTCTGCAGAGCAAAGGGGCGATGTCGGCGACGTCTCCGGAGAGGGCGGCCAGGGGTTCAAGAAGTTTCGCCGCCAGATCGCCGTGCACATTCGAGGCAGGATGAGGAGCAGGAGGAGGAGGAGGAGGAGGAGGAGGAGGAGGAGGAGGAGGAGGAAGAGGTCGACGCGACGGCGACGGCGACAGCGATGACGACGACGACCGGCGGCGGCGGCGACGACAACGACGGCGCCGACCACCGCGGCCCTCCGCCGAGACGTCCGTGGCCGGGATCCCGGCGGTGGTCCCCAGCGTGTCGGGCCAGGCTTGGATCACGCAGCTGGCCTCCGTCATCCTCGAGCCGTCGGACGATCCCGCGCCGCGCGCGGAGTCCCGATCGGCTCCTCGTTCCTCCTCGTTTAACTCCTCGCTCTTCCCTGCGCCTCCTCGTTCCTCCATCCTTCATCCACCTCGCTCCTCCGCATTCTCCGTATCCATCATCTCTCGTCCCTCCTCCTCATCACCTCATCCCTCTCCCTCCTCCCACCTTCTTTTCTCTTCCTCTACGTTCCTCATCCTCTACCACGCCCTCCCTCCATCCCTACTCATTCTCATCGTTCTCGTCGCACTCCTCATCATCATTCTCGTCCCCTTCGTTGACGTCCTCTTGCTCCTGGTGGTTTCAGCCGAGGCGCTTGCTAGGGGCATCACCACTTCTTCCACAGGAGCGGATTGCTGTTCTCCTGTCCTCTGCTGTGGCTGCGGTGGAATCCCTGGGTCAGATCGATCGGATTGCTGATCATATTCGTTTGGAGTGGCCAGTGTCAGTTCAGTTCTCTCCCAACTGCCCCACGGGCACAGATAAGGTTCGCTTCATACTTGGATATTGTTTTGGGGGGTGCATGTATGGTTGCTCGTCATGCAGTTCGTACTCGCATAAGTTCGGTTCGCACTGCCGCGGTCACGAGTGCTGTTACCGAGAAGGGGCACTCTCACGAGTTATCCCCAAGTTCCTCTAGAGTCGATTGTTGGATGCGTACTAATGTCGCCGCTCGCGGTTTCGTTCCTGGACGGGGAAAGGCGGTGGTGGCCCTTGTCCTCTTCCCCCTGGATGTGATGATGGTGACGGAGATGACCAAGGTGGACCGCAAGGCGGCCATGGGCGTCGGCGTCTTCATCGAGAGGATGTATCGAATCTGCCCGAGGTCGGTGGCTCTTCTGAGGCAGGACTTGCTGGAAGCTGCGCTTACGGAAGCAAGCAAATCGGACCCATGCGATTGTCATTCGGTTGCCGTCAATCCCGCTGTTTCCGTTCAGTGAAGAGGCCATTGCGTTTTCACAATTCATGAGTTAGCGATGCTTTTGGCCCACACCCGCAAGTTGAATACATAGTGGCATGCGATGGTGTTCATGATGATATTGATTACATGTTGTATGAGCGTAGCGAGTTCGATCAAAGCCTCTGGGTGGAAGATCGGCGGGACACTGTTATCCATGCACTTGGTGCTGAGATTCCTGCTGATGATCGCCTTTGTGAGCCTGCTGGCGATCAGCGAGCTCACGCTGGTGAAGATCTTCGTACTACAGCTAGTGGTCAGCGAGTCATCCTCGGGAGCCTGCTCTGGGTTGTGAGCCTCATGAAGACAGTCGTGGAACATTTGGTGGACCTTGGGAGCATGCGCCCTGCGTGGTGACTACTGACTGGCCAGCTTGCTGAGATGCAGCACTCCGTCGAGAAGTGGATGGTTGAGTTGACTTATGGATTCAAGGACTTTCAGTCTGCGGCTGGCGACGGACCTCGACGTCGGCCCCGCCCGCCTGTCCCTGCCCTTCCTCCGGTTCGTCTTGATGATACAGGAAAGCATGGTGGTACCCATGCCTGGCTGAAACGCAAACGTGTCTCGATTGAGCGCTGCTGGGAGTGTCGTTCCCCGCTCCGGCGGCGCGTGGCTTTCGAGGACAACTCACCGATGGATGTTGACCTGGATGATTGGGCTGTGTATCCACATTAGCAGTGGGGGAGCCTCGTGGGTTCACACCCTTCGAGAGCGGAGAATCACCTGCAAGGCCGGCTCGTGAAATACATCGTAATCGTTAACGCGTGTTTCAAAACAGTCGAGCATCTGATAAATACATTTCCCCCTGAAAAGCTGGGCCAGCGTGTCTTCATAACATTGCCCGAAAGTTGGCCCAGCTTATTGAGCACCTTCACCCCTCCAGCGTTAACAACAGAACTTACCCAGGATCGTTTTAAGAAGCATCTGGGAAGCTGGCCCATGTGCTTACATGATCAGTTTCTTGATCAGATGTCGGGTTGTACATGTGTTTGTTGTGCTCCCCCTCGGCCAGTCCGTGCGCATGGGCGCACATGGTTTCGTCGTGCCAAGCTCCCCCTTGTACGGGTTGTTCGACGTGCGGCCCTTCTTCGTGTGCGGCCATGCCTCCTACCGCGCGGTGGGCCTGCCCCAGTCTGAACGGGCCACCGCGTTGCCGATATGTTGGAAGCTTGTCACATCTCTCTCCGCCTGGAAAACGAGTTTGTCCTCTTCATGAGCCTCACTCCCTCCCCGCCTCTCCTTCCTCTCCCCTCCTCATCGTCCTTCCCCCTCCTCGCTCCCTCCTTCCCATGTTCCTGATCGCGCCCTCGCGCGCAGGGGGGCAAGGGGGAGGGAGCGAGGAAGCGGAGAAGGGGGATACGGAAGAGGAAAACTAAGATCAGTGCGATGCGTTCCGCGCTTCCGGGTCCTCATAGAAGAGGTAGAGGAAGAGGGAGGGAGAAGGGGAAGGATAACAAAAAGCGGGGAGGAGAGGGAGGAGGAGGAGGAGAACGAGGAGGAGGAGAAGAAGAAAGGAACACGTGGGGACGTCTTGACGTTTGAAAGAGCGCGTTCTGTGGGCGCTTGGAGGGGGGGGGTTGGAACCAAACCCCCTCCCCCCCTTTTCCCTCCTCCCGTGACGGAGAGGGGGGGGGTCGAAACCCGCCCCCCCCCTCCTCTCTCCCTCTCCTCGGGCCGGAGCTGGCGCTGGCGGCGACTGGCGGCGGCGGCGGGGGACGTCGATGAAGACGACGTTTTCCTTGTCTGGTCCCGCACCGGCTCCTGCGGCGGCTGGCGGCGGCGGCGGGGAGCGTCGACGAGGACGACGGCGACGACGGCGACGACGACGAAGACGCTCCGCCACCGTGCCTTGGTTTTGGGTCAGAGTCCTACTGGATGCCTCCTGGATTCTCGTCGGAGGGCTCTCGGGGGCCTCTGAAGGGCATTTATGACGCCTCCTGGGCGCCTCTTGGGCGTCTCTTGGGGCCTCTCTGAGGTGGTGGTGGTGGGCTGTGGTGGTGGTGGTGGTGGTGGTGGTAGTGCTGGGGGTGGTGGTTGTGGCGGTGGTGGTGGTGGTGTGGTGGTTGGTGCTGGTGGTGTTGGTGGTGGTGGTTATTGTGGTGGTTGTGGTGGCAGGCTGTGGTGGTGGTGGTGGCGGTGGTGGTGGTGGGTTGTGGTGGTGGTGTGGTGGTTTCTGGTGGTGATGGTGGTAGTTGTGGTGGTGGTGGGTTGTGGTGGTGACGGTGGTGGCGGTGGTGGCGGTGGTAGTGTGGTGGTGGTTTGTCGTGGTGGTTGTGGTGGTGGTAGTGGTTGTGGTGGTGGTGGTGGGCTGTGGTGGTGGTGGTCGTGGCGGTGGTGATTGTTTTGGTGGCGGTGTGGTGGTTCGTTGTGGAAGTTGTAGTTGCTTGTGGTGGTAGTGGTGGTGGCGGTGGTGGTGTGGTGGTGGGTTGTGGTGGTGGTGGTTGTGGTGGTGGGTTGTGGTGTTGGTGGTGGTGGCGGTGATGGTGGTGGCTGTTGTGTGGTGGTTTGTGGTCGTGGTGGTGGTGGCGGTGGTGGTGGTGGTGGGTGGTGGTGCTGGTGCTGGTGGTGGTGGTGGTGGCGGACGTGGTGGTGGTGCTGTGGTAGTTTGTTGTGGTTGTGGTGGCGGTGGTAGGTTGTTCTGGCGGTGAGGTTGTGGTTGTGGCAGTGGTGGTGGTGGTGGTTTGCTGTGGTGGTGGTGGTGGTTGTGTGGTGGTTTGTGGTGGTGGTGGTGGTGGTGGTGGTGGTGGTGTGGTGGTTTGTGGTGGTTGTGGTGGTGGGTTGTGCTGCTGGTGGTGGTTGCGGTGGTGGTGGCTGTCGTGGTGGTGGTGGCGGTGGGGGTAGTGGTGGTGGTTGTTGTGGTGGTGGTGGGTTGTTGTGGTTGTGGTGGCGGTGGATGGTGGCTGTGGTGGTGGTGGCTGTGTGGTGGTTTGTGGTGGTGGTGGTGGTTGGTTGAGGTGGTGGTGGTGGTAGTGTTGGTGGCGGTGGTGGTGGTTTGGTGGTTTGTCATGGTGGTGGTGGTGGTTTGTGGTGTTGGTGGTGGTGCTGCTGCTGCTGCTTGTGGTGGTGCGGGTGGTGATGGTGGTGGTGGTGGTGGTGGTTGGTGGTGGTGCTGGTGGTGGTGGTGGTGTGGTGGTTTGTGGTGGTGGTGGTGGTGGATTTTGGTGGTGGTGGTGGCGGTGGTGGTGATGATGGTGGTGGTGTGGTCTTTTGTGGTGGTGGTTGTGTTGCCGTTGTTGTGGTGGGTTGTGGTTTGTGGTGGTGATGGCGTTTTTGGTGGTGGTTGTGGTGTAGTGGTTTGTTGTAATGGTGGTGGTTGTGGTGGGTGGGTTGTGGTGGTTGTGGTGGTGATCGTTGTGGTGGTGGCAGTGGTGGTGTGGTGGTTTGTGGTGGTGGTGGTGTGACCTTCGGGTCTTCTCGCCACCGTGTTTTGGCTTTGGGCCAAAGTTCTAATGGGTGCCTCTTGAGGTCTCGTCAGAGGGGTCTCGGGGGCGTCTGGTGAGCACATGTGAAGCCTCCTGGACATTCCTAAGGGCTTCTCGGTGGCTTTTGGGGGGCGAGGGCTCGATATGGCGCCTTGTGTTTCCCCTTTGTGGCCCCTTGGCCCTCTCTGGTCAACGTTGCTGCGTCCCCGCCGTCGGCGCTGCTGGCCGCTGGCCGCTGCCGGCGCCGGCGCTGGCGCCGGCGCCGTGGGGGGGGGTGTTTGGACCCCCCCCCCTCCCCTCCCTGAGTCCTCTCCGGTCATTGTTGCTGCGTCCCCGCCGTCGGCGCTGCTGGCCGCCGCCAGCGCCGGCGCCGGCGCTGGTGCCGAGGGGGAGGGGGGCTTTGGACCCTGGGGGGGGGTCGGAGGTTGACAGACCTCCTACCCTGACACGTCGATTAGCGAATTGGCCGTTTTCGGTTCGCGAGAGGGCGTCGCGGCCGTCATTTTTGCGGGTCCAGGTCAGTCGGTTTCGGTCCTAGGCCGTTTTTATTGAAGGGTGGTTTGCTAAAGGGAGGTTTGTCCACCGTCGAGGGGGGGGGGGTTGGGGAGGGGGGGGGTTCTGGGGGAGGGGAGTCCCCCTGGTTCTGGTCGACGGCGCCGAGTGTTGGGGGGGGCCCCCGGTTCGAAACGAGCCGCCGAATGTTCCCAAGGCAAGCGCCCGTGAAACGTGCTCGCTCTCTCTCTCTCTCTCTCTCTGACATTCGCATGTTTTTTGAGTTTGGAAGGGTGCCCTGGGGAGGAAGAGGAGGAAGAGGAGGAAGAGGAGGAGGAGGAGGAGGGAGGAGGATAAGGAGGAGGAGGAGGAGGAGGAGGAGTGAAGAGGGAGGGAGCCAGGAGATCTGGTGAGAGGGGGAAGGAAAAGAAGGGGGCGGCAGAGGAGGAAGGAAGATGGGAGTGGGGAAAGGAGCAGGATCAGGAGGAGAAACAAAACACAGCTTTCAGCGACTGTGGGATGACTGATGGCTATTTTTCAGGGGCCGCGGGATGTGGATCACGAGATTGAACATGCACACGGGAACAGCGAAGCATAGTTTGTCAGGTAGCGTCTGGAGTGGTTGGGCCTGCCAGACATTCAGTCAAAACGAGTGTGATTGTAGTCCTCGCTGAGCAGATCCAGACCTTCTCTGGGTCGTGGTCGGGCTGTCGGCATTGCCTAGCTTGGTACGCGCCGTGCTCGGCCAACACCAGTTTTCCGACGAATCTCTGTCAATAGATGTCTCACGAGTTTGGGAGAGCCTCCTCATTCGAGAATTCCTCGCGCATCTCCGCATGCATGATCCCGGGTCGGGGATTCACAGCCCCCCCCCAGATGGAGCGAGCCCCAGATTTCACAGGCCCCCCCCCCCTGATGGGATGGGGGGCGACAACGACAACGACGACCACGCCACGCCACGCCCACAGGGCCACGACCACAGGGGGGGCAAACCTATCGCGCGGGGGGGAGGGCGCGAATGCATCAGCATGAGGGAGGGTGGGCCTGGAGCCCTGGTTCCTAGATTGTCCATGTGCTTCCCAAATGTCAGCCTGCGCTGGCAGGTGCCAGCAAGCCAGCACTGCTTTGCACTGGCCCTACGGTTCCACAGTGGAGATCCCCTCCAGCAGCAAAAGCCACCTGGCCCCCAAGGGCGTACCAGCACACAAGCCTCCGCATGCATGGTAAGAGGGCAGCAGGATCAACAAGGAGAGACAGAGAGAAAGAGGAAAAGAGAGAGAGGGGCGCCCAGGCCGCCAAGGGCCAGGCGGGCCGCTGGCCAGGGAGTGGCGGCGGGTAGCTCACGTTCCCTCCCCTCCCTTCCTCCTCCTATGTGTGCATGCCTTGAAGGATTGACGAATGGACAGGGAGAGGGCGTGCAATAGCCACCGTCCCCAGCAATTGGCACAGTGCATAGCGGGGAGGCTTTTACGGGCCGCTGCCCTTGCCATGCCACCTGTTGCTTTCGGGGCTTCGGGCATCATGGGGCGCAGTTGAGTGCAGTGCCCTAGCAAAGCGATGGAGAATCCACCATGCCACCCGGCACTCGAAAGAGCATGAGGGTTTTTGGTTTGGGTTCACGCAAACATCACACAGGCGGCTCGCGGGGAAAGCATGTCGCCGAAAGATATGTACTTGTTTTTTGATCCTCCACCTCTCTTTCCGCAGCTCCCCCCCTCCTCATCACGCTCGTCGTTGCTCGTCATGCCCATCTCCGCCTTCGACTTCCCGAAGCGAGGATCCGTTCCCCGAGGGGTACACTCTCGGGGATATCTGGAGCGAGTGAGCAAGCATGCCGCGTACATCTTCCGCCACTTGCCCTTTCTGTTTTGCCCCATTTCGCTCCTCATGCTCCTCCCCCGCTCCACCCTCCCAGTCATACCCCCAGTGCTTCTCCTCCTCCTCATCCTCGTCCTTCTCGTTCTCCTCCCATCCTCCCCATCCCATCCTCGTGCTCCTCGCATGCTCCTACTCCTCATCTCCCCCCCCCTCCTTCGCCTCCTTCGCCATCGTCTGTCTTCTCCTCATCAACCTTGCCACCTACCTCGCGTCCTGCTTGCCCCCATTGTCCTCGTCCACTCCCCACCCTCGTCGTCACCATCCTCATCCTCGGTGTTCTCTTCCTCCCCCTCGTCATTCTCCCTATGCCGCCCTCCTAACATTTGTTCATGCTTACCTCCGGCTTGACTTACGTGGGTTTTCCGAGATGGTGACGCGTAGCTAGATCTAGGTTCGGCACATCGCCGTGCCCTACTGTTTTCACTAACTCAACGTTACATTCCCGCCGGGAGTGGCCCGTTCCAGGGCTCGCGGACAGGACTTGCACAATACGATCAAGGCGCTGAGGTAAGGAAAATTCGAGTTCAGGAGAGCTCTGGTTTTCGGGCCGCCCTGTAGTTCTAGGTCGGGGGAACTGTTCGTGGACGAGGCTCGCCGTGGCCAGAAAAGCCATGCCGTTCCTTATTCAGCGTTCCATATGTGTAGATGCTATAGCTATATATATGTATATATATATATATATGTATATGTAGTATAGCTCTATGTCGATTGCAAGTCTCGCAGCCGGATCTTTGGCAAGAGCAGGTCCGAGGCGGTTGCGAAGGCCGAGCGCGTCGTTTTTGTTTCTGTGTGGCACTGGAGCTGAAGGCCTCTGCTGACCAGCGGCGGAGGCCAGCTCTCCGCTGGAAGCTGTTGTTTGCGCCGCTCCGCCAAAAACACAGATCTGCATAGCTGTTGAGTGTCATGCATGTAGCTGCCGATCCTTGTGCACATTGGCGTACATTCGCGCGCTCGAGTTGGTCACTGCGCGTTGGTGCGCGCGTTGCGCTGTGTTGCATCGAGCTCGCCAGCATTGTGTTGGCACGTGTTCCTGATGCGCGCATCACGGTACATCGCCGAACTGGAACGCGAGTGCATTGATGCATGCAGCTGATGGGGGGGCATCACGCTATGCGATTAGTTCCGTGGGGTCCCAACCAAAATCAAGCCATGACAATGCCGCCTGCGTGGCAACCATCACAACATTCGACAAAGCCAACAATCTGACACAACTCACCATGACAACGCATGGCTGTTCCAGGTTCACACTGCAACAAGCCAGCCATTCCCTTGCGAAAAACATGCAAATGTATGCAAAGGACGCGCCCTTGGAGCCATCTAAAGACACGTGGGAAGCGTGGGCTCCCAATCATGCTCCCTGGACCCCCGGATGAGTCACGACCCAAGCCCCGAGAGCGTCAAATAACACCCAAACGTTGTTGGAAGCAAGGGCAGAATGCCATTAACGAGCATCGACAACCTTCAATGTTGAGAAGTCAAAAGGTCAGGACCTGAGGACGCTTCGCTCGGTGCCTCGCTGCATGGTGGCCGATATACAGTTATAGATATCAGATGCGTGCACGGGGGAAGCAGCTGCACATCTGTATAGACATGCATGTATATATGCATGCAGCGATAGATATGGACAGCGACCTCCCATACGCATCTAGGTAGAGGGAATAATCAAAAACAAGAGGCGCAGAGAGAGAGAGAGAGAGAGAGAGAGGTGCGCACACACCAGAACACGCGTAAACGAGTGTGCGCATACGCGCGCAAGACGTACACACGAAACAACCCGTGCACGTAAGCACACGCACAACATGGCATGTGGGATTTAGACCTCGTTCGCAGGCGCATTCACGGCGCACGTGCGCTCTTCTGTGCACGCGTGCCCTAAGATAGCACGCGCACCCTTGCACAGACACGTGTGTGTGTGTGTGTGTCGATGTCAGCGCGGATTTGGTTCGGAGCGGACGTCTGAGCATTGGCAATCGCCCGTGCACTCGCAGAGCGGAGGGTGGCGTTTGGGGATCGGTCATGTTTGCTCATCCGAGACTCCTGCCCTGGGGCGCCAAACAACATTGCGAGGCCTTACCTCCCCCCCCTCCTCCCTCCTCCTCTCCCCTCCCTCCTCTCATCCACCACCTCCTCTATCCCACTCCCCCTCCTCCCTCCTTCTCTTCATGCCTCCCTCCCCCCCTCCCGATCCAGTTACGCTCATCTCCTCCCCCGCATCCTCCCCCTGCCTCACCCTCTCCACTCCGCCTGCCCCTCCTGCAAGGTCATCCTCCTCGCTACGACGACCCTCTTCCTCTAGAACCCTCTTCCCCTGCCGCGTCGCCTTCTGTGCTCCAAGAACTGCACCAGGACCCCCCAGACCCTCTCACCCCCCGGACTTTCTTCTCCTCATCTTCCTCATCCCTCTTCTTCCTACTCCTGTTCCTCCCCCCTTCCTTCGCATCCAACTTATGCTTCTCCTTCTTCCTTCCCCCCGGCTCCCCATCTTTCCCCCTCCCCCCTACTTCCTCCTCCTCCCATCGAGCACCCCTCGCTCCAGTGCCCCCGTTCCGCCGCGCTCGCCGTGGCCGACCGCAGCCCTTCTTTTTCCGCGCTCCAGAGACCGCCCCCCGCAGGCGCTCCCCCCCCAAAAAAAAAACAGGCGCCGCCTGCCAGGGTCGAGGGATCGAGGTCGCCGCAGCCGCGGATCGACGGCGCGCCGATGGGGGAAGCCTGGGAGTTTCGTGTTCGCGGTTTTCGGGCGGCTTCGTTGGTTCTCGGCGGGTATCCAGCCTCGGAGTGTATTTCGAGCAGCTGCGAGAGCGTTCTGGGGGTGCCAGGGTCGTCCCAAACGGCCGCCAGAGGCCCGAGTCGTGGCCCGAAAATCAGGCTCGGCGGCGCACCGAGGGTGGAAGTGAGAGGGGGCAGGCCTTCCCAGAAGGGGGCGGGGCTGCGCAGAAGCCCTTCCGGCCTTCTGAGAGGCCCCCGTGTGGCTTCGGAGAAGACTTCGAGAGCTCCTCAGAAGCCCCACGGCCTTCTGAGAGGCCCCCTGGTGGCTCCGGAGAAGACTCCAAGAGCTCCTCAGAAGGCTGGAGGCCGTCCGAGCCTTCCGAGGAGGCCCACCCCCTCTGCCTTCTCCTCTGGGGGCGCTGCCGAGCGGTCGCCGTGGTCGTCGCAGCCGTGGTCGTGGTCGTTGCCGCCGCCGCCACCGACGCCGCCACCGACGCTTCCACCGAGGATCGAGGATCGAGGAGGGCGTTCGGAATTCCCTGACTTCCTGGGGGAGCCGTTCCGGACCCACGGGCGGGGGGAACTGGCCAGGGTGGGCCCCAGAACCCAGGAGGGGTCTGGGGACGGATTTTTGAGCGGATCTTAGGGTCCGTCGTCGTGGTCGTCCGTCGTCCGTCATTCGCCGTCTTTTGTCGTCGTCCGTCTGTCGTCCGTCGTCCGTCGTCATCGTCCTTGCTTCCACCACCCACCCACCGCTGACGCCCGCGCGCTCCCCCGCGCGCGGCAGTGGAGGGATGAGGAGGAAGGAGGAGCGAGGGAGGAACGAGGGAATTCGAGGAAAATTGGGGAGCGAAGGAGGAGGGAGGGAGGGGGAGGAGAAGGAGGAGCGAGCGAGCGAGCGAGCGAGCAGAAGCCGAGAGGCGGTTGGACAGGCGCGGGCCGAGGGCCCGCAAAGACCAGCCCCGAGGCCTCAGCCTGCTGCAAAGACGGAGCCCAAAGGGCCAGGAACCGCCTTGCAGCTGCCGAGGACTCGGGACCAGTCCTTGCAGGCCCAGAGGGAAGCGGGCCGCGCACCCGCCAGGAAGCACGGAGCTTGCGCCAGGCCCGTGCTCACCCTCTCGAGGCAGCAGCACTCGAGGCCCAGCGGGCGCACAAAGTGCCCGAGGTTCAGCACGGTGCCGAACACCACAAGGAAAGGCATCCGCTGCAGGACGCCGATCCACCCGTCATTGACAACGTCGACGGAGAAACAGAACAAGTTCAAGCGCTGGCAGTCCAGGATCAAACACTACAAAGGACTGCCATCCGCACTGTAATAAGAAATGAAAGCAGTCGGACCGACCCAACTCCCACCTAAGGTGCAAGCCACAAGGGCCAGAGCATTAAGGGCTGGCCGCCGAAGGTGGGAGCAGAATGACCCTGCCAAAGGTGCATGGCTCCAAGGCCACGAACATTGAGGCCTAGCCGCCGATGGCAGAGAAGGGCCGGCCCGACCACTAAACCATGTCAGTGTCTACGTCATCATCGCTGTCCGACTCACGCGGAGCACCCAACTCCAAAACTTCAGGGTATAATAGACCATAGTCTTTTAGAATCATACTTGTGTCCAGATAGCGTTGGGGTTCAGCACGAACTCTGCCTTTCGGTCGGTAGACGGCCTCAGGCGCATCACTGAGCGGGTCCTTCCAACCGTTGGACTTGCACACCAAGGCTCGGACTCTGGCCGAAGGCCGCCGAGCATCCAACAGGGCAATATCCTTGTGCAGCGACTGAGGATGCCGCAGGTTGCCGAAATGCCGAGAGTTCTCAGCAATCCTTCCGCTGCCCCCTTCTCTGCCGCAGCACAGTTTGTCCAGCCCACAATGGTTGAGACGACCCGTGTCCGAGTACTTGCAGCAACTGGTGCAGAAGATCAGCGATCGATCTAAACCGACCACAGGGTACTCCAGCAAAGCATGCTTCTGGACCAGCCAGGGCCAGGGCAAGACAGGCTCTCTCGCCGCCGCCTGCTGCTGCGGCGTGGCCAGGTCGTCCTCCTCAGGGTAGGGGAAGAGGTAGTCTTTGAACTCGTCGCCGTGCTCGTAGAACCAAACCTCAAGCTGGGCGATGTAGCACAGGAGCAGCTTGTGAAGTCGCATGGCTCCGCGAACAAGCCTTTCCTGCGTCTCCGTGGCAGCGTGGAAGCCTGCGCCAGCCTTTGCCAACTCATCGGCCTCAGCATTTCCAGCACGATCGAAATGGCTGATCACACCTTCCACAGCATCCGCCATGCTGGTGTGTGCCTTCACATGAGACATAGGTGCCCGACAGAAATCATGATTCATCGCAGTCCTCCTTCACATGTGCGCTCTTAAATTGCCTGGCCCACACGCTGCCGCCAATCGGTGACAGCAACCGACCGATCCCTTGCAATCCGAGTTCACCTGATACGAGCCCATGACCAGCCCGCTTGCCTTCATGAGCGCATAGTCCTCCCCGTCGCGGGCCACTTGGCTGGGCCCTTCACGACGGGTAACCGCACCGTGGTACCGAGCTACACGGCGCCTGTCTGCATCGTAGACCGTGACGGCCCACCCAGCGGACCGAAGTTCAGGCACCCAAACCGACAACGCACTGCCATCCACGAAAACATAGCCGCCATTCACCGACGTCACACCGCGGCGATCCACATCGATCATATCATGCTGGCTGGAGCGACCTGCACCATGAAAGGCCTGCCCTGGGCGTGGAAGAAGACCGCGGGCAAATCGCTCCTGCTTGCCCTCGGGCTCGCACTAAATCCCCTGCGCTGACCTCTGGACTTCAGGTGGTATGAGCAGCTGCCGCTGGGCAGAATAGGCGTCACACTCGAAGAAACGGTGGAACAGGGTGCCAGGCGCCGCCTGACATCTGGCACAGAGCGAAGAGTGGCCCGCGAGGGCCCGCGCAACCCGAACTTGTGTCCAATGACCTCCAGCGATCACGCCCCGCAGCGAGCGGCGCTGGTGCGGGGCGAGGCGATTGCCGCGCAAGGCCTCGGAATCTGCTGCCAGGCGATCGGCCCCGTCCTGGCGGCGCCTGCCCGTTACAATGAGGCAAGCGCACCACGGCCAACCTGACGTCGAACGCCCATCCTGACAATGTGAGCGATCCAACTGGGCGAATAGAACTTGAGGTCCCATGAGAAACCTGCGTCATCGGGTAACGTGGCAGGGTCCAGCAGCTTCGAACTGATCCTGTGCAGGCTGATCATCAACGCAGCGATCGGGGTCTTGCATTTCAGCCATGCTTGTGGATCGTCCAAGAGCGGGGGCGCCGCGGTCATCAAAGCCGCAACCAAGCGTGATGTAATCACCCCTGTGGACATGATCACAAGGTAAGTCTGTATGGCACCTGACGTAGCGGTGACCAAAGGATCGTTGCGCCTCCCGTTTTTCAGCACACATTAGAGAGAGGCCCACCGAGGCACCAGGCTTGAACCGAGCTCCCGCGTTAAGGAACGACATCCTGAGCTGCTGGATTCTGTTGTTGGGTACCCCAGCGATCGAGCATCCCCATGGAGCCCTTGCGAGGACCCCAGAGCGGTGGGCCGCCGAACGTTGCCTTCCCAAACCTTTGAGAGCCAGCAGCCTGTCTCCTTTAGCCATGGCATCCCGAATGCGAGTGAGCTGCGTGCCTATGCGCCTATATTGCCCATCCACGGCATCGCCCCCATGGTCTCGATGAAATTGACCCCGACCTGGGAAGGGAACTCCAGCAGGCCATAAATCAGCTACCTCGTCCTCGATCAGGCAGAAGGCCTCAGCGTCATTGCACAGAAAGCCATCTTGTCCCAAGACTGCGGCAGACCCCGAGCCTGGAACAGGCCCACCGTCTCCTTGAAAGCGAAACTGAGCTCCCGAGCCACCGTCTGCGGGCGTCCAACCGAGCGCAGACTAACATCATCGATCAAGTTTTTGATGCTGGGGGAGCTGCAGCGAGCCCCTACATGTCGAAGAACCGTCGCCGTCATGAGCTTGGCTAGGCCTGTGGTGCACGAACAGCCTGCGACAATCGTCCCATTGGCGTTGATCTCGTGGGAGGTCGAATTCTGGTAGGAGGCCCGCCTGGGCCCTCTATGCAGAGCGCAAAGCGGCCTCAGAAGATTTTCAGGAAAGCCAGTGCCCCGAGACGCGCACAACAGTTCGGCATGGGACACCATCTCATAAAACATCCTGAGGTCTATGAACGCACTAGCACTGAGGAGGTTAAACTCGGGAGCTACACCGGCTAGGACATCGCGAATCCGAGCCGACTCATCACACGAGGTCTCCGAGGCGCCTCCCCAGAAGAAAGAGTCAGGCAAGGTGGGTTCCCATGTGGCAACGACTCGGTGCCTGAGGCGGGACCACAGACGGGCGAAGAATGGGGGCAGGCCGACGGGCCCAGCTCCTCCCGTGACCTTGGGCAGGGGAACTATAAGGGCCAGCCAGACGTCTGCGAGCTCAGTATTCTTTTCCCAGGAGAGGAGGAGGAGGCGAGGGTCGAAACGAGGACCGAAGGAAGTCTTCCCACCCATCTCGGATGGAAGCAATCCCGGCCCAGCGCCGTCTTGCTCTTAACGGAGCTAGGCACCGCCGTCGCATCGTTGTCCGTGAACTGAGACAGGGTCTCGGTCGGCATGGGATACGCCCCAATCCAGGGGGGCGGGGCTCATCCGACCTGGCTGGCGCGATCCAAAGACTGGACCACTCTTTCGACATTTCCTGCCGGACTTCATGCCCGACGACTGGCAAACCAATGGCGAGGTCCGCGGCCGTGGCCCCCTTAGGGCCCTCAGAGAAACGGTGGGCCAGGCTGGCCCCGCTGGCGAACGCCAGCTCCGAAAACTCCTTCCAGCCCTGGTTGGCGGAGGCTGCGTCAGCTGCAGTGTGCGTCAGCACATGGCCCTGGAGACATTTACAGACCTGGGCC